AAGAAAGAAAGAAAGAAAGAAAGAAAGAAAGAAAGAAAGAAAGAAAGAAAGAAAGAAAGAAAGAAAGAAAGAAAGAAAGAAAGAAAGAAGGAAAGAAAGAAAGATGCAAGCCGACAGAAGGAAGGTAGGGACAGTGTGGGGATGCCGGGATGCCACAGAGACACTTGGACTCATCCGAACAGACGCCTAAGGGAGAGAAACGTGCAGGATCCTGGTCTGAGCTCCACTGTTGCCAGCCCTTGCCCTCAGCCCTGACGGGATACAAAAGAGCAAAACACCCAGAAGCTGCCTTGCGATTTTTCCCTGCACAAAAGGAAAACGTGGGGTACCTTCTGCAGTCTAAGAAGTAGCCAAAGCAAGAAAAGGGATGCTCATGTGTCCCCAGACTTGTCTGTACCTAGAACTTTCTGTTACCTAGTTTAGTCATGACCTCATACTTTCTCTTCATATACACATAGATGATTTTCTCTGAGGTTTTCATCTTTTCCCACTCTTTCTTAGGGAAGTATTTGGCAATATCATCAAAGGCCTACAGAAGAAAAGAAAAGCAATTCTGGCAGTGACTCAGCTAGGCATGTCTGCCATTCAGCTGGAGCCGCTTCCTGTGTGCTGGATCTGGGAAGTGGAGATGATAATTCGTCCTGGTTGATGTCATGGCTAACTGAGACAACATCAGGGACCTACCCTAGCTTCTCCCCTGCCACACAGTAGAGCTTTAATGCTGCTGGCTGGCTCTCGTCCCACTTCCTGAATGGAATAAGAGTCACCAAATATAGTGCACTGTCACAGACTTGTCTCCAGGGATGCTAGGTGATGACAGAGCAAGGGTGGGAGGCTCCTAAGGGTCCAGATCTCCCCCAAGACCCTGCTCCTTGTCCCCAGTATCTCTATCCTCCCCTCCTCAGAAACCTGCTCACCCCACACTGTCTCCTGGGTCACTATTATACCCTCTCCAGGTCACCTCACCTTTTGTATCTTCTCTGGTATTTGAGCACCAACCCTAGGTCTCCTTGCAAAGGCGTCGTCTCCATTCATGGCACCAGGAGCAGTCTGACCTGCAAGAGAAACAGCCTGAGACTTTCCAGCCACAGGACCTTTGGTCCTGTAGAGGGAGAAATCAGTGAAGGCCGGCCACACTCTGTCACCTGGAATCAGGTGCTGCATTTCTCCATCCGGGGCTTATCTCTCCCTAAGTAAGGACATGGGGGGAAGTCAGGTGTAAACAGGGAGCCAGGGGTCTCTGGAAGAAGTAGTGATTGGGGATGACAGGTTTCCTATGGGCAAAGCCGCCTTGAGTCTTTGGGAGGGGGTTGGCTACTGTTGTTAGTAGTTTCCCTGGGGCTAGGCTTACCCTGAAAGATGTACAGACCCTTGTTCCGGAGGCAGGGATGTGACTGCGTAATTGTGTTGAGTGGGGGCGTTCTGACCCTGCCACTCAATAAATAAAGGAAGGGAAGTGAGTCCCAGAGATAACATGGTCTCCCTGGTGATGGATCCAATCAGGCAGAGGGATAGGGGGTTCTGTTCTGTTGAAGAGAAATGAGCATGGCTAATATGAACGGATTTAGAGGGTATTACTGGGTGATCTGTACATTATTAGAAGAAGAGAGGTAGAATATCTCAGACTACAAGAGCCCACCAACACTAAGAGAGAATGTGGGGAGTTTTAAGATGCAGCAATCAGCCAGACGCCATGGCACACACCTGTAATCCCAGCACTTTGGCAGGCTGAGACACACAGATGGCTTGAGCCCAGGTGGTCGAGACCAGGCTGGGAAAAATAGCAAAACCCTCGTGTTTACAACAAACACAAAAAATTAGCTGGGGGTGGTGGAGCAGGCCTGTACCACCCCAGCACTTTGGGAGGCCAAGGTGGGCGGATCGCTTGAGCCCAGGAGCTTGAGACCAGCCTGGCCAATATACCGAAACCATCTCTACTAAAACACCAA